GAAATCAATTTTTAACCTTTATATCATTATTGAAATTTATCCAAATCAATTATGGACCTTACTATTAGTATTTATGGCTCTTTTAATGCTATGAAATACTATACACTAAAAGAATTTTTAGTGATTTTAATGGAAGGGAACGTCGTTAAACATTAGATAATTAGGCCATTTTTCTGTTCTAATGATTAACTGCTTAATATAAGAAAATATAATAATTATCAGACGCTAGAAGTGCACTTAATCCAATGGTTTAAGGGTGATATAACATTAAATGACTTAAAGTATCATCTCACAACTATTGTTAAGAACCTTAAAAAAATCTACAAGCATGGAATAGATGAAGCTAAGTTTATTAGTGTAATTCTGACACTACTCTAAAGCTACACTGGCCAGACATTAACTAGTCGTACAAAATAATCAGTATCAGTTGTACAATGGACCGTATAAAAAATAAAAAATAAGAAAATTGTAACTTCACGTTAGAGAGATGCTTACATAGCTAAAAAATTAACAAAAACGTTAACAGTCTATTTCAGACGTGATCTAATTGTTTTTTAATAATCAATTTCTAGTCTACTAATCAGTTCCTACTTTCACAGCTTGATTTAATAGTGGTCGGCTTCATATAGTCTTTTGATGAAGGAATCATTATCAGAAATAGTTGTAAAGATACATTTGTTGGCAAGGTACTTTTAACGTTACTTGGCATATTATTATCCTTAATGATGGAGAGATGGCTGTGGATACCTTTACCCTTAGCTGACCGATGTAACTGCCCCAATTCCTAAGGGTTTTATTCCCTGGCTTCCTGATTTACTAGAAGTTGTTGATGTTCTAGAAGCACTTGGTTGGTTGGAAGAACGGCAGCAAAACTCTGAAGTATTACAGAAGATTGTTCTATGGCTGTATATCTCCTGGTATTACGCCAGAGACGTTGGTGTTTAGGACGCCTTTTATTCGTGGCACTCGTTGATCAATCAGGGTGAAATCACGTTGCTGGTAAATCAGGGTGAAATTCAACGTAACTCACTTATCCATAGGAAAAAAGTGTCGTTGGTAGTCAAAGTCCTCAGTTGCACAACTAAAAATTCTATTATTGACGTATTTCCAGCGAGCGACTATAGTAATACACAATTTTCTCAGGCATATCATAGCCAGACTTACTTACTTTGATTGTAGGTGGCTTTGATTTTACTTAGATGACCCCTAGTGGATCTTTCTAAGCTAATGTTAAAAACTATCGTATGTTTGCAAAACTTTGTGTTTATTTATGACTGTTTTAGTTAATTTTTTTTTTCAAAACTATACGATAACAATCTAAGAGTGTCAATAATCGGTACGCAAAATTTCAGCAAAATCGGCTGTGTAGTTTCCATACTTAGCAATTATAACAGTTTTTTGGACTTTGCTTTATACATTAAAAAGATGATTAGCTTTAAAGATGATAATAAATTTACTCGTTTGAAATATGAGCCTATTTATGACGACCAGACTCTACCTGTTGAGTTTGCAATACTGCATAATTGTAATTGTATATTTTCTAACTACACTCTAATGCGCACAGCAAATCCATTACTTTTTTTTCTTTTGAATAGGTGCTATGTAGATGCAGTTTGTTTCTGTTGGTTATAAGTTTTGGATGCATATTGTTTACTCGTTTTGCAGGAACAACTTATGATTGAGAAAAAGTATTATAAATTTTTCATGATAAGTTTTTCACGTTTATGATTTTATCAATACACCTAGAAATGTATAGTTCGTATTATCTACAGTATCAAATTACACACAGTAAGGATTGACTGCTAATAAAATGACACTCAAAATGACTGCAGTCCATTTTTATAGTAATGGATTTACTTTAACTAGAAATATTTTATTATTGTTCAGAATTAATTACCTTAATGAAAAAGTATACCCTAGTATCCTACAAAGATATCGTTCCGAAAATCGTTTTATCATTAATAACTTACTTAACTAAAACAGTCATACCCTCATTTAAAGCCTAGAACGCTCTTGTAACAAAAAACCGACTTAGTTTCAAATTAAAAATTTTTGCAGACCTCATTTAACTGCACTGATATATAACAAACTGGCTATTTTTTCTGTATTAGCTGGTATATTTAATATCGGGCCGATTGCAATTGAGCCCATCTGATTAAAAATGTTGTAGTTGAGCCCATTATAACGATCTTTTCTGCATAGCACTTGAGCCCAGATGATTGTTACAGTTGAGCCCGTCGAAACGTAATATTATCTATTTCATAGATACTCGTTTTACATCAGGGCCGTTAATAAGATTGATGTATACCTACATGTGAACATGTATGAAGATACAATCAAAGTTATATAGAGAATAAATAGTTACGCACCTTAGTCGAATCACAGAATGAATGCGCAACCAAATTACGATTGTTCGTAAATAAAATCAGTTGCGTAATGATGTCGCGTGAATAAACATCGTACTATGTCTATCATGTCGTTGATTACAATGCTAAGTAGTGAAGGGAAGCTACTGTTAGTGTTTAATAAGTTTAAATTTAAAAAAGCACGCCTACTTAAAACCGGACAGAAGTGGCGATGCACAAAAAACTTTTGTAAAATGGCAATACTCACAGATGTTACCGGTGAAACACTTCTAAAAACATTGGGATTGCATGATCACGAGCCCGACAAAGATCTCCATGTGCAATTCCTTTCAAATTCGTGCAAAAGAAAAGCGTGTGATGATATTTCTACGAGGCCTACGAAAATTCTTCGATCTGCGATTCGAGGTAAGACAGTGCCTGATTCCATTAAAGAGCCATTAGAGCCACAGGATTTACAAAATATTAAGTATAATATGTGGCGAAGTTGACGGTTGCTTTTGCCGACTTTACCAAAAAATTTAAAAGAAGTACACACCGCATTAGACAAAACAAATTGGAAAACTGTCGATGGAGAAAACTTCGTATTAGTCAATGATCGGAATTCCAATGTTGTTATATTTTCATGTGTAGAAAATTTACAACTATTATGTAAAGCGAAAAAATTATATATGGATGAGACATTCAAGTACACTGCGAAGTTTTTCCTGCAATTGTTTACAATACACGTCATCTCAGACGGCAAATACATTTCTGTAGTGTTTTGTCTATTACCAGACAAAGAACAGTACACGTATGAGACCACTTTTAATCACATCATCAAGAAGTGCAAGGATCTTCAGTTGGAATTTGATCCCTTACGCATTGTTGTGGATTTAAAAGTTAGTATACATAATGCTGCTTGAAACTTATGGCTCGCAGTGACTATAGAAGGATGCCGATTTCATGTCATGCAATCGTGGACAAGAAAAATCCAGACTCTTGGTTAATTGTGTATTAAAATAAAAAAGGCCTAATATTGCATTAGCGACTCTAATTTGTAATAAATTTAATAATCTGCAGGTCTCTCGACTATGTACCGTGATGTAAAATTGGAGGCGGGGTTTTGGCTACGTTGGTGTTTTGGTCTACTATTTCTCGATCCACTCGAAGTCGAGACAGCTTTTATTGATGTTTTGATGACTCGTGCTTCGGAAGTAGTAATTCAAGAGATTGACACTTTCCTTATATATTTAGCCGAGACATATTTAGAAGCATCCGCGTTGTATCCTCCCAAATTATGGGCATCTGCGAACATTACCACGGAACGAACTACAAATGCATGCGAGTCATTTCACTCGCATTTTAATGACATGTTTTACAACGAACATCCAAATATTTTTCTTTTTTCCGATACTTTACTAGAGCTGCTAGAGGAAAATATAATTAAAGTTCGAAATTCTGATCGTCCTGAACGTCGTACAGCTAATGCAAGCAAGATTCTTCTCTACGCTAGATTAGCATTAGCAAGTGAAGAATATAATAAAGGAAAAATGGATTTGTTCACTTTTGTGGAGAGCATTTCTCCTTATTAGAGAAGTAATGTGTAATGTTGACAGTGAGCAAATATATTTATCGACGTATAACGTTTATTTTGTTGTGAACATATACGTACATATATTAAAAAAATGACATGTAACTGTATTACAGTATTAAAAGTATTTTTTAAAGGTAAATTGTAGCTAGTTATAAAAGTGTGGGTACCCAAATAAATAGATGATTTTATTTTTAATGTTTACTTACATTATTACACACCAAATTCATCTAGATACTTTCATCTTTTGGTGGGCNATATATTTGACAAATGACATGTAACTGTATTACAGTATTAAAAGTATTTTTTAAAGGTAAATTGTAGCTAGTTATAAAAGTGTGGGTACCCAAATAAATAGATGATTTTATTTTTAATGTTTACTTACATTATTACACACCAAATTCATCTATATACTTTCATCTTTTGGTGGGTTCAACTGCAACTTATTTTGTCGATTAGTTGGGCTCAACTGTCACTTTTTTCTGTCATTCTTATCAGTAGATGGGCTCAAGTGCATAGCGCCCTAAATAATGAGAGTGCAGGTTAAAAATGGCTTTGACATAATAAACTCCCGTATAGTAAGGCGTTTGTTATTAAACTAAAATTTTAAACTTAAGTGATTTTAAGTTATAAAGTATTTGGTACACACGAAGCGTCCTTTTTTTTGTTACTAAGTCAAAAGTCATGCTTAGCATGTTAGAATCAAGAAGAACTTCATTGATGCAGATACTAGGTCTAAAAAAATTGTGCTTATACAATAAACTTGCTTTCCCTTTGCATCTTGCTATTGTTATCTGTATGAAAATGATTATTGTGGCATGCAAGAAATTCAGAAAAATAAAAATACTATTGATGTACTTGTGCTATTATTCCTACTCATGGTTAATTGCAAAATCAGCACATACAAATACATGCAAGGTAGTCTGCTCGCATCATTTAGCTTTTTGCTCTTTTTGCTATTTACAAACAAAACTGTAGTACATTATTGTATGTGAATCTTTTTGATATACACTTAAACTTATTATTAGTAAGTATTCGTCAAGCAGTAGAAAGTTGAAACAAACCTGCATATCCACCACAAAAAAGTTCGTTGTCATTATAGTTGACTGGGTTAGGAAAACCAAATCGCCACATACTATTTCTTGCTGGTGGATCCATTAGTCGGCCATGTCCTGATACATTTCGGTTGCTTGTTAACTGTGTATAATGTCATAAATTTTTAAAAGTTCTTTCAACTTAATTTAATACTATTATATAGTTATTATTTTAAATGTTAACTATGTCCAAGAGTGCTTTTACCACAAGCTTTGCTGTTCGATGAATTTTAATCATGAAACTATTTGTCTTGAACAAAACTATAACAATTATAATTAAAAATAACCAGTTGAATCATGTTTATCGTTAAATAACACACTTATTTTTACTTTAACCTTCCTTAGTGTTAACCATGAGTGTTATGCCAAACTAAATTTTTGTACACTATGACAAGTACAACGAAAACTCGTCAGATGGGCTATCGTTATAAATGGACTCTATTTTCTTTTTTTATTGAAACATAAAAGTAGTAAGCAAATAGTCGTAACCAGTAACCGCTAAATAACTATACATTTGTACATAAAATTACAAATGCCGATTATCATTTTAGCATCATACAGAGAATTTTTAACTTTTTCTCTAGATTTTTAAAAAGTAATACAACAATTTAAAAAAATTAGTGTACAAAGCTCTTATTCACAAAAACAAGAAACAATTAATGTTTAATAGAATTTTTGTTTTCATTTTATACATGTTAATATTGCAGAATTAATGGCTGATAACTTAAAAGAATCGATATTTTTTTTACCCTTATCAGCTATGCAAAAACAGACAAACAGATGGTGTTTTTGTAGCAAAACAAAAAATAATCACTCATCTCTTTAGGCTTTTTGTAAATAACTTGCAAAGTATTATGCTTACAATCCTTAAGTATACTAGTATAATACATTATTTAGTGAAGTTTTAAAAAATAAGCTATTAACAAGTTCAAAATATTGTCAATTATTAGTAAGCTTGTGCCTCCTGTCTTAGCTTCGCCCGAGACTCAGTGAATGGAACACCGTATTGTGTTAACATGTACTTAATATTAAATGTTATCAGTGTAGAATCTTAGATCTTTTCTTAACACTTTTTGGAGTAAAAAACTTTTCATTAAAAACATTTCTGTTCAGGATCCACGCAGTTTATTTTGTCAAATAATGTGATTTTAACAGGATGAAAAATAAAATGTTACTTAAAAGTACTGAGCGCTTCTAATACCGTAAAATGATTGTTGGTCACAAAGAGCCGTTGTTTGCACTTTCTTACAATATAATTCAAAAGGGCTATTTGTCAAAGCTGTAAGGATTAAAAAACTGACAAGTAATATGAAATTAAAAATTTGATTTTTAAATATTACAACTTTGTTACCAGAGAAACAAAGTACTAGAGTATCCAGGTTAGTATGGAAAGCTAATTTTTTAGTAATGGATTCTTTATTTCTCGATTTTGACGCTGTTGTTTCAATCTCGATGAATGTTCTGTGTCAGTTCTTTGATGCCCAAAGTTTTATGCATTTGAAGCACTTAAAGTTTTCTTTCCAATTTATCCACTTGCAACTATAGGCATGATGAAAGCTTATGTAAGCTTAATAAGCTATACTTTGTCAACTTTATAAAGATCTAAATATAATAAACCGAGATCTCATAGTTGACAAAACAGTATCTGAAGCGTCAACTCAAAAGCATCATTCATCTTTTATTAATTTTTAAGGGCTTTTTAAAAAAAAAAAAGCAGTTCTATTAGAAATATTGTTACCAAACAACAACACAAATGAAAACAGACCTCATAAGAATTAACATCTACAATAAAAAGTCACTACGTATTTTTTACCAAAAAGTTTTTGTGTATATACTAGTCAATAATTGGTCTCGTCCCAGAGACCTTTTTATGATTGTTAATACACTGACATATTCATAAGCTTACTACACATAAAATATAAAATATAAAAAGAGTAAGAATACAATGCACGTAGTACCTCTCACTATTTTAAGCAAAAACCTCATACCCTATAGATCAATAGTTTTATTTTATACAGAAACCATGTTATAAATAAAGGAGAGAAACGTTTACAACAATAAACTGAAGGTAGACTGTTCACACTGACGTATAAACAGGCAATAAGATAACGAGATACACGGTCTTCATGCACATGTACACATTAGTGGTAAAGTTTGATTATCTTGCTATTAGTGGAACTGTGTATCAATGTTTAAGCGTATGTACAGTAACAAGAAATATACGAGTACAGGTTGATACATTTGTTACCTTCAACTTAAAGTACTATTATTTGGTTGTTTCTGTTTAAACTCAGATACGATTTATTTGTATGTATTAGACAATTTTTCTAAGTCATTTTTTCTATTTATGTTATGGTCAAAGTAAGAAATGTTCTACATTTTAATGACTTCTCTTTGTAATTAGTTTTGTGCAGTACCTATTATTTTGATATTTTTGTTGTTTACGTTAGTATTTAAGTCAAAACTGTGGTTATATTCTCTTACATGTACAAAAAAGACAAATATTTTAAATTTATTTATATAAAGTCTCTTAAGCTTTTTAAACTAGTCGTAAGTTTTCGTGCAGTTTGAACCCAAATAGATGATGTTACATTTTTGACATTTAATATTGTATATACCGTTTGTATTTAATTTTTTTTTAATATCGTGTGGTGATGTTTTTTTAACTATTGCTAAGATGTCATCCACACAAAGTTTGTATAGCAAAATGTCATTTTGTAGCTTAGACAATTCATTTTTTCAACCTCTTCCAAAACTATATTAGCAAACACCAGGCTCACACATTTACCCATAGGACTCCCTATGGTTCACTAAAAAATATTTTAGTTGAACTGAAAACAAGTCAAGAAAAGCAACAACTTTACACCTTTTATAAATTCGTCTATAAACATGTTAACATAATTATGTAAATACTTTTACTTACTCTTCAAACCTCTAATAACAAGAGCATAAAGTAGGTTGATGCAGAAAGACACAACATCGCAAGAGACCAGACAAGATTTTTCAGATATTTCGAGATTTAAAAGATAGTTGTTCATATCATAATAATTTTTGACTGTAAGTTTAGCATTCAAAATATGTTTTGTTATTAATTTAGGGATAAATTTATCTAGGAAATGAGAAGGTGAACCTATCAATGAGACTATAAGTCTGGGCGGTATGTTATCTTCGAGTACTCTTAAAGTTCCTTATGTTCTTGGCAAAGAAGTGTTGTCAACCATAGAGATAAAGCTCTTCAATCTATGTACATCATATTCCACCGATATAAAAATATTCCACCGATTCCATTTTTATATAACAATGTCTTAACTGAGTTTTTTATGTCAGCTTCAGCATTGACGTTAAGTTAATTGTAATGTGTTTTATCAATCAAACATGGCTCTTCTTTTTTAATGTATTCAGATGTATTAGTACTAACAATAGCACCACCTTTCTCAGATTAAGCTACTGAAAGGTCATTTTAAAAAACGTTTATTGAGAGATATATTTTTTTACATATGTTTGTCAGTATATGTGGATCTTTTATTGTTAATACACCAAATATTAAAAATCTTATTGAGTTTTTTTCTCATTTTATGACTGTAACGATCCTTAAAGCCATTAAAAATTATACAAGATTTAAAACCTTCAATTTTTTTAAACAAAAGTTTCTCGTTAATGCTTATTTTGCTGTTATAAAAATTTTGGGCTAAAGATAATATATAAGTAATTTTCTGTAGGATGTTGATGTAAGTTCAGTTAATGACTATATCGATATGTTCTGTTTTTCTATAAACATCAAATATTTTATTTTTATCAACATTTCCAACAATGGTTTATATATTTTGTGTTGGGGATTATTAATAATATTGTACTTTTTAACAAATTTTCTTTTCGATTTTGGAAGAAAAAACTGCTTTTGTGGTTATGAATATAAGTTAGATTATATATGATCTATTTGGGCAAAAATGACTGTAATGAAAGAATGCATTTATTTTTTTTTTCTTAAAAATTCAGATTTTTTAAAATTCTTTTAAACATTTGTCGTGTAAGTGATCTAGTTTTTTATCATTTAACATTCATAGTATAGCTTTACTATTGAAGTATTTACATGAATGTATTAGGTGTATGGGTAATATGCCGTAATCTCTACAACGTTATATGTATACACACTAGTTGAAAGTTTATTTTTCATTCTTAAAGTTTTTGTCAAGTTGTAAGAATTGTTTTTTAGAGCTATTTCAAATAGTTGATGTAAATTATGTGCTGTGTATAAATATGTATAAATTTGGGAGCGTTAACATAGTAACAAGGAATATATGAGTATGGGTTGGTACATTTGTGTTAGCTTCGACTTAAAGTACTATTATTTAGTTCTTTTTGTTTAAACTGAGATATGATTCATTTGTATGTATAAGATAATTAATCAAAGTCATTTATTACATTAATGTTATGGTCAAAGTAAGAAATGTTAAACATTTCCATGATTTCTTTTTGTAATTGGTTTTGTTTAGTACCTATTATTTTAATATTTTTGTTGTTTATGTTAATGTTAAAGTTAAAACTGTGGTTATATTCTCTTGCATGTAGAAAAAGGACAGATATTTAAGATTCATTTTCATAAAGTCTCTCATGTTTTTTTAATCTTGTTGCAAGTTCTCGTGAACTTTGCCCAATACAGATTTTGTTACATTTTTTACATTCAATTTAGTGTAGACTTTGGGTTTTGGTATTGTGTCTAAGGTATCTTCTCCCAATCTTATATTTGAAGATAATTTGTTATTGATACTGTTTCTTACACCAAAGTTTTTGGACTTCAAGAAATAATTGCATTTAAAAGCATTAATAGGATTGCAAGGTATGTACGTAAGCCGTATTTTGGGTTCTTGAACAACAGGTTGTTGATTTTTATTACTCTAATAAAATTTTTTTTTTCATTTCTTATAATTTTTGTAACAAAGTCTTCTAAGTAACGGTTTCTAGATAACACGTTGAATTTACAAAATGTTGTTAGTTCTGAATTTACTATTATAAAGTTTGAAAATGGTGTTAATCATATTTATAACAATCCCTTTTTTAGCTGACGTCGGTTAGGGTGTGTGGTGTCACATATAGTGATGTCTA